TCTTCTGATAGCACCTTTGTACCTTTGAGCCAAGAGCACACAACCTCTGTGGAAATACTTTCTAGAAAAAAAGAAAATTGGGAATGTGTTGATGGAGAACATGATCCTACGGATGGAAACAAGCAGTCTGGTATTTTCCTTCATCCAGTAGCTTGTGATGCTTCTGTGCTAAATGTCAGTGTTCTAGGCATCACAAAAATTTGTGCTAAATATGCACTGCCTTCACTGGGTCTTCTGAAAGATAGTGACTAAGAAACAGATATGTAGCAGGGGGTCCTAAAGCTGCCTTGGTATCATCATCTCTTTCTTCTGGCTTAATTTTTGTGAGATTTCATATTACCAGAATACAATTGGTGATATATTTTTTATCTATTCTGGCAAGCATCTTGGATAGCAAAAATAGGTAAACAGAACCCTTATACTTGAAGACCGCTAATGCACCAGAAGTCCCTTGTAAGCAGCTTTGATATGCAGAGAGATTTCTGGAACTCTGCAGTGGGAAGCTTCTGCCAACTCTGTTCATTTTTCCCAGTGATTGAACAGAATCTCAAGATTTCACATCTGCCCTCTGCTGTTTGCAGGAAATGAGATCTATCATCATCATCCTTAGTCATTAAGGTATTTATTAGCTTAGTCTTACAGATGTGTAGAATCTTAGTTAATTTCATACTCAAGAGAGGTGTGACAGCTTTGATCTAAGACTTTTTAGCAAAAAAAATGCCAAATCTTTGCCTTCAAGTAGTAGTGACTTCTTGAAAGAAACAGAGATTTTTAGAGACAACCACAGTAGACAGAGAGCTTCTTTTTCAGCTGTAGGAGTTCTGACACCCTAAGGTCAGATGACACATCTGACACACTCCTTGCAGGGTATCTGACAGCTGTTGTGCGGTGGTGCTTTGCCCTCTCTGAGGGGAAGAGCTGAGCGAGAGGACTCTACCTACTCACTTCCAGGAGGCAAGATACCACAAACACTTTCTTGCTACTTAGGAATTGCTTCCAAGTTGGTGATAATCTTTTAAATTTTCCTGGGCTGTGAACATGTATAATAAGTAGCTCATGTCTATAAGGGAAAATTTAGAAACCCACTTGCTACTGAAATAAAACGTCTTTGGGATACTTTGAATACTGCTCCAATTCCTCCATTTTTTGTGACTTCTTCTGTCATGAAAATGTTAATTAGGAACCAGTTTTTAAAAAGAATTTGAATTCCAAATGATACCTATTGTATCATAAAAATGTTTAAAAGATGATAATCTTATTTTGCTATTTATGTCTTTCAATAATTACAGCATTAGGAAGACACTGGTATTATAACATGAATATGATTAGTGCTGAGAAGCCTACAGAAATATCTGCAAATAAAAGCAGAGACACATAATGAAAAGGGCACTGTATTCTAGACATTTAAATTCAAAGTGTAAAAAATGGTGGTGCTGTTCCTATTTTGTGCTTATTTTAGGTGCTGATCATTCAGCTGGGACTCCATATACTAGAAGTAAGCAGTTGGACAGCAGTTCACACAGATGTTAGCATCAATTCACAATTTTAAAGCTTTAAGGTTTTAATTAAGGACCTACTTTGTATTTAAAAATAGTCAGATCTGATTATTAACCCTTTTCAGATGTTGTAATAACGTGATTGTGTGTTACTGGTGTGCCAGTTGAGGGGTGAAAACTTGATCTACAGCCTTCTGTCTTGAAACTCAAGGTGTATATGTCAATGTATTAATATAGTATCTAGTGTTGTAATGTTCATAGTAAAGGAGGGCTGGGTTAGAATGACTTACAAAGAAATAATTTAGCAGAGTCAGATTTCACATAGCTGCAGTAAATGTCACCATAATGAAGTTAGTGTGAGGTGGACAGGGTTCTATTTCTATCTAGTAGCAGACTTCTTATTCTTCTTTTTATTCTTTTAATGTGTGGTTTGTTGCCCACGATATTTTGGTGTTTGGCGATGCTAAAGCTCAGGTGCTTTAAAGAAGCTTTCTCTGGCCTCTCTGTTACTTTCTTGTAATGGCACAAGTTTCTTTGGAACCAGGGTTTACTTTCTTCTGAATCACTTTTTTTCATGCAATCCAATATCTTAGATAGGTGTGTACTGCACAAGGGAAGGTATGGCATGGGGCACGGCAGGACTGCTTCCTTGGGTGGTGGTGCCATTTCATACCAGTTTACCTAGCGGATTAGTCAACTTTATTTTATGACTCCCCTGAGTAAGTTTGTTCTTTTTATTTTTACTTTTCTTTCTTTGTAGCACTAATAGCAATGTCTTAACAAGGAATTATATTTCAGATGTTCTTTACGAGACATATGTAAAATTCATACTTCCACAGCATAATTTTATTGTCTAGTGGCATATTGATGAAATGTGACAAATTTGAGGATAATAGCATTTCTGATGTTTTTCCTGTAGATCTCCAAATATTTTTTTCTTAAATTATTACTATTTAGAGCAGTGTCTGATGCACTGTCAAGCTGAGTTGCTGATAGCAGTCACCTGTCACGCATTGATTCCTTGGAGCAGCAAAGTCAGGCTGTGTTTTTGAAGTTAGAACTTTTTTGCAAGCTTGCAACAGTGGTTCACTTTTCTTTATAGTCTGAGGCTCTAGGAAGATGAAAAGAGAAGAGTCCACACAGGTATATGTTAAACTTCTTGTGTTACTGCAGAGGTTTGTATGTTGGTTGTAAAATGCCCTGTAGAATGAACTCAAGCTTGCTGTGACAAAGGTAAGCTAAACGGTTGTGGTCAATTTTGGTCTCTGAAGTATTTCTGAATGTTACTCCTGGTCAGGGATGACAGACTAAATTGGAATGAATAAAAACTACTTTTTTGTTTTTCATATGCCTGCTGTTTGAAATTGTTTTGAAGGTGCATACTGAACAACCTTGATCTGTAGATTTCCATTCCAAGTATTTAATCCCTTTTGAATGAGGTAGAAAAATAATTGTTGAAGGCTTTGTCATGAGATGTTTAAATGAATGCTCTTGGATTAGAATTTTTTTTGTCTTGAAAGTTTAGATTCCATTACTAGTGTTTGCTCTAAACTGATTGCTTTCAACTTGGTGGCAATCTTGATGATAATTCTTGAAATAGAAGGAGGGCTGGGATTTCTGTTTTGTCTTCCAAAGAAAGTACTCTTTCATGCAGATAGAGGCATTAACAAAATATGGTTATGCATTCAGTGCCTGAAAAGCAATGGAAGCTAAGATTAATGGGCTGGGGGGGACAAGGAGTGGGGTGTGCACGTGGTTGCATGTATAATGACTGCTGAGCTGGAAAGATAGCAGTTTTTGATTGGTTAGTTGGTTTTTTTCCTGACAACATATTTAGTTTTATTTATTCATCTTTCATGGTAGCATTGTCCAACTTCTTTTGGAATATTTTACTCATTGGTAGAACAATTTTAAACTACAGGTTGCATAGCAAGCAAAAACGTCAAGGGGTTTAACACATGATTGAATACTACTTCACTCCGCTTGCAACTTATGCTTGAAAAGATTGAAGCATGAAGTTTTCTGGGAATGAATAGCAGTTCACATTAAATTACGCAGTGTATCAATGATGTGTATAGTTCACTTTTTCTGTTTTACATGGGTGTAGGTGTGATTTTTATCCTGCTGTTTGCACTTCTTGTACTGTCACACTTTTAACCATAACTGCACGCATTTAATAGGCTAGATAAGTGCTTCTGTCAGGCCTTCTTTTGAGAAAGTGGATGCCAGAGAAAGATGGATATGCTAAAGATAAGTATGCATAGATAAGCAAAAATGCCGTATGCACCAGACTGTGAATATATTTTCATGAACAAGAATTTGTATCCTTGCCTCCTTTTCCTTCTTCTTCCTCCCTTACCCCTTCCAACCTAGACCTTCATTTCTTCCTGCCTATTTCAGGAGCTTTAGACCTTTGCCCTGCATGAGTGCTAACAGTCTGAATTCGCAGCTCTTGTACAAGCTTTTTTTCTTCGCTCTGTTACCATCCTTCCTTTCACATTTATTAGCAGTTCCGGGAGTGGTGAAGAGGAGCCTTCCTGTTGATTCTGCAGGAGGGACTTAGCAGGGAGATGGGTAGGCATACAGGCCAGGGAAGAGAAAGTAAAAAAAGAAAAAATCCTTTTTTGCAGTGGCTAAGGGAAACTGTGGTGGTCCTTCACTCCTTCTGGGTGTGACTGACAAAGCTTCTGTTAGCCAAGTTCTACTCAACAGCTGAGGTGATTTTTTTGGTGGGTGGGTGTTTTTTGTTTTTTTTTTCATCCCCAGCAGTCTTTTAGTTCAGTTCTTGCTTTCTGATCACAAAGTAATGATATAATTAGACTGTAAACTATGAGGGTCCTAAGGACTCTAAAGCTGGGAAAGCAAACATTTTTTTTCTCTTTTGATGACTTTTTTGGGTCCAGTTCACTGTGTAGCCTCAAAGATCTATGTCAAAGAAAGGGAGGAAATGTCTTTGGAGGCTGGGGTGGGAATGGAGTCACGTCTTTTTAAACTGGCTGAATGCCTGAGTATAAACTCAGATGGCATGGGGCAGGTCAGTTAACCCTTGCCACACTGCTCCTGTAATTGCAAGCGCTAGTTTGGTATGCATTTAAATTGGTACAGTTGCTGGGGAAAAGAATTTTTGTTGACTAATCTGTTCTGGTTTGTTCTCTTTCAGGTCTCCCTTGCAATTATGGAGTTTTAGAAGAACAAGGTAGTGTGGAGGGGGAATCCCCCTCTCCACACTTGAGGTAGTTCACTTTTGGAATTTTCTATGGACAAGAATATTTGTTATATAAGATGGTGAAATAACACTTCTAAAAATATATATTTATAAATATTTATTTGGATCAAGTGCCAAACATAGCAGTACAAAGATTTCTAATGGCAGCTTAATAAAACTGGATTTACATCCTTGGAATTACAAGTTTTCTAAGGCACTGTATTGTGTACTGAATTGGAGTGCCTTGATACACTTAAGGGTTGTTCCCCTTAAGGAGAGCAGCAGCTTCAAAAGTGAAGATGAGTTCTCTCACGCCAGACTGCACTTCAAAGTGTCGATCTCTACAGCATGCTTTGGATGTTATTTCTGTGGTAACTAGAGGAAGTGAAGGCCAGATCAAGGCCTTTCTTTCTTCTTACTGCTACAATGCTGCAACTATAAAGGATGCCTTTGGTAGAAACGTTATACATCTTGCTTCATCTTGTGGCAAAAAAGGTGTGCTAGACTGGTTGGTTGAGACCAAAGGAGTAGATCTCTTGGCGAAAGACAAAGAGTCTGGATGGACAGCTTTGCACAGAAGTATATTTTATGGATACATTGATTGTGTTTTGTCATTACTGAAGGTGAGTGATTTACAATTGTAGTTTTCCTTGGTATCTACAATTTTTAGAGTTGCATTTGTTATGTAAAAGTGGGTTTTTAAACTTGCCTGAAAGCCTCTTGAGGATTGTCTTAACAGTGCGTTTAGATCACAGCGCATTGATTTACTTGCAAGTTGTCTCTGTGTTTATAAAAGATGTCTGCCTTTGCCCATGCAGGAATCAGCACTGAGTAAGGATCCCTAATTAATTGTGGACTTCCCTGAAGACTGTTTTTTGTGGATGATATTAGGATCAGGATCTTAAAAGCGGAGAGTGATCAGACTAAAGATAATCTAAAAATAGACTTTTCAGTTCTTATACCAATTAGTGTTTTTAGAGAACATAAAATAATAAAAGCTTAAATAGAGTTATAATTAGAAATTATTCTTAGATTTGAGAGATAACCACTTCAAAATATGGAGCATTTTATTAAGTGAATCCCCATTTCATTCATATTTTAACCAGGGCTTTTGCTCAGTCCCCCTCATTCCTTTCTTGCAATTGCTGTTTCTTCCCTACCACTTAGCAAGTTGTGTGTATTTTTGCAATTGCTCTTCTGTTCCTTCTGTCCCAAGTACAGCAAAGAAGAGCTACATATGATTGAGATGTTCAGGGTCCCTTTAACCACATAAGCAAATTAAATATTTGTGGTTCCGGTTTACTTTAAAAGCAAACCTTTTAAGGCAGAGAATTTTCCATTTTGAGTTCAGTCTTTTAAAATTGCAGTGACTAGCCATTTGTAAGCATTAAACTCCCTGCTTTCAACAAGCAGTTTAAACAAAATGGTTGTGGATTCAGTAGTTTTTAATTCTTGACAGTCTGGTAACTGTTAAATATGGGTTTCATGTGCTGTACCCTTACACAGTGAGGAGGTTTTCATTAAACTTCACAAAAATAGGTGTTTGTGTGAGAATTGTACATGATTCTGTTCTGTAGAAAACTGGAAAATGTGTATGTGATATATGAAAAAGTATTCAGTCCTCTAGTGTGTGTGTATATCTGTATCTTTGATACTTGCTTACAGGAGGCCTAAACAGGTTTCCCCACACGTATTTTACTTTTCTATCAGTTGCATAAATGAGTGAGGTTTTCCTGATAGCTAGCTCTGCTGATACTCCTCTAAGAAGCAGAATGAAACAGCTCATGGAGAGCGCTCTGCCTCCCAGTTCCTTAACTGAAGTCTCTCTGCTGTACTGCATTATAGCAACAACAGGAAGGAATTATAAAATAGAATTATGAAATAGCTGAGCTACAAAAAGATCTCTGAAGATTGTCTAGTCCAACCCCTTGCTAAAGCAAGGTCAGCTAAAGCAGGTTGCCCAGGACTGTGTCCAACTGGATTTTGAATGTCTCCAGGGACAGAGACTCAAACATCTCTGTTCCAATGTTTTAATACTAGTCCAGTAAAAATGGTTTTTAGGTTTAAACAGAATTTCTTATATTTCAATTTGTGCCCATTGCCACTTGTCCTGCCACTGGATATCACTGGGATCCCCACCCCCTGCCTCCAATCAGGTATTTATTATACATATTGATAAGACACCTCTTCCCCCACTCCCCCAACCTTCTCTAAGCTAAGCATCCCAGCTTTCTCAGCCTCTCCTTGTATGTCAGATGCCTTAGTCATTATTTTCATGGTCTTTTGCTGGACTTGCTCCTGTATGTCCATGTCTGTCTTGTACTGGGGAGTCCAGACCTGAACCCAGCACTCCAGCTGTGGCTTGCCAGTTCTGAGTAAAGTCTGCTGGCAACACTCCGTCATGCAGCCCTGGATGCTTTCACCATTCTTAGCTGTGACACATTGTTGGCTTGTGGTGAACTGGTTGTCCACCAGGAGCCCCAGGTCCTTTTCTGCCAAGCTGCTTTCCAGCCAGTCAGCTTCCAGCTGTATTGGTACACTGGGCTGGTCCTCCCTAGGGCCAGGATTTGCATTTCCCTTTGTTGAACTTCATGAGGTTCCTCTCAGCCCATTGCTCCAGCCTGTCAAGGTCCTTCTGAATGGCAGCACAACCCTCTGGCTTATCAGCTACTCCTCCTCATCTTGTATCATCATCAGCCTTGCTGAGGGTGCACTCTGTCCTGTCATCCAGGTCATTAGTGAAGATATTAAACAGTACTGGCCCCAGTATCAACCCCTGGGGTACTCAGCTAGTGTGGCTGACAGACTTCTGTTGTGGGCTGGAGGCAGTCATGGCTTATTCTCAGACTGTATCTAACTACAAGTTTTGCCACTCAGCAATTGTGGTTTGTTTTACAAATTCAGACCACATGAAGATCACTGCAGCCTCTGTTCTGCTTGTAAATGACCTAGGCAGCTGCCAGAGAGAAGAATATCCAGCTACTTGTTAAATTATAAAAATAGGTTGGTCTTTCTGTCATGTAGTGAGTTAATACCAGCACTGTTGTTAGTAGGGTTGCCTTTATAATTTGGAGAATGTATGGTGTTCTTCTGGCTAGTGTTTTTCCAAATGAAGTTACAGGTTAAAATCCCTACTGCAGATGTGGCTAGCTGTCCTTCTGTTATGCTTGAATAGATTGTGCTCCCTTGATTTTTGTATTTCATGTGTTTACCTCTTAAGTGTGAAATTCTGTAAGGTTTTCTTTTATATTAGCTGTGAGTTGTGATACATAGATACAGCCATATTATCCATTAGGTTCTGCTTGAGGACATCTGCAGTTCTTCCCTTCAGTGATCTGATTGATGATACTTGACTTCCTCAAAACCAATGCTGGTGTAGCAGCACTTTTTTGTATTGAGAAAATGGTATTTACAGAGAATACCTACCTCTCTCAAAGTTCTAAAGCAATGACCTGTTAATGCTTTGTGCTTCTGAAGCTTTTTTGCTGCTGTCTTGTCTGTCTGTTCGTGACCTCTTGCCCTTTCTCAGCAACTGTGAACCACAGTTCCCTGCTTGTTTGCAAAGCCATAGTAGGTTTTTTTGGTCTTCTCACTTCTCCAGCTTGTCAAAGCTGATTCTGTAAACATGCCAATACAAGAAAATGTATTCTTCAGAGCTGGTAAATGCATTTTTGATAAATACTTGCCCTTCCTAGATGGCAGTGCTTTTTCTTAAAGTGTGTTTCCTTTGTGTTTCCCTGATTACATCTTATTTCTCAATCAGTATTCATACAATAAAATCCCAGTTAATAGGTCAACATGATGTATACGTAGTTGAACAGAACTGCACTGTTTTTTTCAGATCTGCTTACAATTTACTTGAAAAAATCTGAACATTTTCTTTTATCAATATTGAACTTCAATTAAAGATTTGTTTAGCTTCTTAAACATTTACCTGCCATACTTAAAGCTGTGAAGTTTAATTTTAACTTGTTTTTTCTCTTCCCCTCCTCTCCCTCTCTTTCAGCATGGCGTCAGTCTGTATGTTCAGGATAAAGAAGGCTTATCAGCCCTGGATCTTGTGATGAAAGATAGGCCAATCCATGTGGTCTTCAAGAAAACCGGTAGGAAATCAAGTAGCTTAAATTGTATTTTACAAGGAGATATGTTTCAACAATGTATTAATGTATGTACCAGTGTAGGCAATATTTTCTGTTTCTAATTAGGACTGTATAAGTTATGAGATATCTGAAGATGTGGAGTCACTAATGTGATAAGACAGCAGGTGCAGAATCTTGACAGTAGGCACAGGATGCACATGTATAGCAAAAATGAAGGAATAATGACTGACAGAGGCAAAAAAAAAAAAAAAGCAAGTGATACAATAGGTAACCCAAAGAGGTTGAGGAGACTCCAGCCCTGGAGATACTAAAAACCTGAGAGAACATGGTCCTGGGCAGCCTGCTCTAGCTGACCCTGCTTGAGCAGAGGTATTGGACTAGATGATCTCCAGAGGTGCCTTTCAGCCTCAACTATTCTGAGATTTTTTTTCTCTTTTATCTCAGTTGAATTTATCAGAGCGACTTCAGTGTCTTTGAATTTGATAGAGTAGTTTGGATCACTTCTGTGTCTTTTGTGAAAAGAGGGGGAATGTTCTTGAATCTTCAAAATATTTTTAGGCAAGGTAGCTTGATATAAGTTAGTTGCAGTCACTCTAAATACAATTTCTCCAAATAGGAAATGAGTATGTAAGAATAACTCTGAGCACACCAGTTTTTCTTTGACAGGGGAGTAGTTTTTCCAGTGGCTTTTATTTATTTTTATGCTGTTTTATACTTTTCTACCCCGCTTCTTTCTCCTTTTCTCCACGTCCCGAAGTTCAGTCTTGTTGCACGGTGAAATTTGTTCTTTTCAGCTTGTTTCCAGTCAATTTAAGTATTTTTGGTTCTACAAATCCTGAGTTTTGGGTATTTTTAATTTTGCCATGTAAAATATGTTAAAATTATTTAATATTTTTAGTAGTAGCTCAACGTGATCAAATATACGTTGATTTCAGTTTCTTACTCATCAGAAAATGGTGTTCAGATATCATTGTAACTGAGAGGTTATTTAAAAATATAAAATATTAGTTTTTGGCCACACTTCTGATTTGAAAGTGTTTATGGTTTTCATACATGACAGCATAACCTTTTTTTGGGAAAGGCCTTTTATAAATTGAAACAAAGAATTCTAAGGTAGTAGTAGTTGTCTTCTGAAAACAGAACAAGTAAATTTTCTGCTGAGGAATGCCTGCATATTCTGGAACTGCAAAATATATATAAGTAATGTTGATCATCTTCTGTACGTTGATGTTAAAATACTTTGTCATTGCACCCTCCTTCTCATAAGAATAAAACTTCTAAAAGTTCAATTTTAGGTAAAAAACAGCTTTCCTCTTCAAATTTTAAATAGAAACAGCAGGAGTTGATTTTCAAAGTTATTATGCACAAGACCGGTAAATTTACAAGCTGCAGAGATAATTGTTTTCATTGCAGATCCCACGGAAGTCTACACCTGGGGAAACAATATAAATTTTACTTTGGGTCATGGTGGTCAACAGGGTAAACATCATCCTGAATTGGTGGACCTTTTTCCTCGGAATGGCGTGTATATCAAACAGGTATTCTGAAAGTATTACATAGGCATGTTTCTCAGTGAACTTGGAAGGGGGGGCGGTGTGGGGGAACAACTATTGAAGATGTTATCAAGTTTTGAAAATTGGCATGAAAAAAAAAAGTTGGGTCTGTGGGTTTTTTGTTGTGTTTGTTTTTGTTTTTATTTTTTGTTTCCTCTCTTTTTCTTCCTTCCTAGTTATTTCTCAGCAAGCAGTTTCCATTGATCTGGCGAGCAGCTAAGGAGTACTAGAGTAGGCCTGCTGTATTACGTTCTTGCTGCTTTCCCCCTCCCCAACCACCCTCAGTTAAATCATGGTTCTCTGTTTTGGTGGGGAGAATGTCTTTTGATATTATTTACCTTGGATATATGGCTTGTATATCATTAAATAAATTCAGAAGCATGATACTTCTGTAACTGTTTTGAGTTTCTGACCTCTTGTGCAACTCTCATAGTGAACTGAAGTGGGACAATGAATCTGTTTGATATATGTTGAATTAAAATTCTTCTTGTGTTGAAAGCAGCATGTGCTGTTAAACACTCTTGCGGTAAGAGTAGTTTTGTTCCTAGTAACTTCTTGGGACTTCAGTTTAAGAATGTTTGAAAGTTTAAAGTACAACTTGAACAAGCATTCAGCGCAGACAATCTGTGCTGCAGTCTTAACATGTTTCTTTCAGCTCTTCTGAGGCAGTATTGTTGCCCTTAAAACTCAATCTTTTGAGCTTCTGTTAGCCTGTAGGGCCATGCTTGAACTTATTTTAATAAATACAAACTGTAGGTCTCTTCACATAGGTTAAGGCAGTACATAATAAACTTAAAGCAAATATTTTGTGTTCCTTGTGACTTGATTTGGCAGTCCTGTGCTTTAATACTAGTATCTTACTCGTATTTTCATGAACAGATCTTTATTAAAGCTGGACTTCTTCATAAAGTAGTTTTGACAGATTATCCAAGAAAATTAACTTGTCCTATACTGCCTCTTCACCACCCTTTTTTGCCCTTTTTCTTTCAGGTGGTACTCTGCAAATTCCACTCTGTGTTCCTTTCCCACAAAGGTCACGTTTATACATGTGGACACGGACAAGGAGGGCGCTTGGGTCATGGTGATGAACAAACGTGTCTGGTATGCTATCTTATGCTATCTCGTGTAGTCTAGCATGATATTTTTGTTATTTCAAACAGCAAGTCTAAAAAGTGAATTAGAGTTTCTGTGAATGTACTTTCAAAACCAGTTTGCTGTTGATTTCAAACAAACCCCCTTGCTCCCCCCACCAAATAAAAGGAAAAAAACCTCTCCAGTACTACTGGTGAGCAGTGGCAGAGAGTAGAAGAATGTGCATATAAATATATTTTAATTTAAGATAGCTAGGTAGTGCGGTCAAAATTCTGTGTTATGGCCGAGTTGTTTTAAAGGCTAACTGATGCCAGATAAGTGGAAGCAATTGGGTTTTGGCTGCGCTGGCTTCTTAAATAGGTTTGTCATGCCGTCTGATGAGTGTCAGGGCTGGCAGAAAGGAAACAGCAGTACTGTGGAGCTCTAGTGGCATGAAAAGTGATGGTAGGGTTGCTTCTTACTAGACTTGCACAGCTATTAAGTGAAAACTCACAGTTTTCATTTGAATAGTACATTGCTGCAATATGCAAAAACAGAATTTGAGAAGACTAAGATATGATGACAATACAATTCTTAGACTTCAGTGTCTTATCCTGTGCACACTACCTGGTAGTGGCATTTAGTTTGCAGCACAATAATTTTTTAGAATTTCTAGTATCAAGTTTCTGGTAGAACTTGATATTATGTTGCTGGATGTTATAGTGAAGACCGGAGCACAATTTTTAATGCTTCTTTTAAAAAATGCAATTCTATGAAATTAGAATTTTTTGCAAATTGCTGTTTTGAAATTGGGATGTTATCCAGTTGAATGAAGGAGTGCTCACATTAGAATGCATGAAGAGTCAAAGATACAGAACTGCTTCCTTATTCTGTGGAATTTTCTTAGGATTATCCTATGTTTTGGAGAAAGGGAGAAATTTTGGAGGAAGGGAGAAATCTTTATTGCTTATGGTAATTTAAAAAGAAAAATAAAAGAAGTAATAGTTAATACTTGTCCAGCTGTCCTGAAGATACAGTTTCCAGTCTAATTTCAGAGCAGGTAGTTTAAAAATCATCTCCCCTGATAGCAGAGGATGCATTTCAAATGAAGGTAGTTTGTCTTATTGCATTGGATGTGGTAATTATGTTAATCAGTGTATTATTGTATGTTCAAATGCATTTTCATCTGTAGTTCAATATTTGGTCATGACTTTCTGTTGGTGTAACTTTAGTTTCATAGATGGCCACTGGTTAATATCAAACTTTTTTTTTTTCATGTTCAGATTCCAAGACTTGTGGAAGGCTTAGGTGGTCATCAGTGCTCTCAAATAGCTGCAGCTAAGGATCATACTGTTGTTTTAACAGAAGATGGATATGTTTACACGTTTGGTTTAAATACTTTCCATCAATTGGGTATTCTTCCTCCTCCTCCTAATTGCAACGTTCCTAGACAGGTAAAAATGGCATCACTCAAAGCTTAGTTGTTTGTTTGTTTTTTTAACAGAAAGTAAAATGTGAAGATTGTGGAAATAACTTTTAAACTTTTTTCAGGACAATAAAGTTGAATGTGAGTTAAGATAAAATCTTGATTCTGTGTTACCATACATCTCAGTCTTACATACTTACCTGTGTCGTGATAAATGTCTTAGTTTGTAACCTGAACTGTACTAAAGTTTGTAGTGCTAAGTATGATACAAGGTACAATTGCCAAAACCCTTTTCTTCCCCAAATTGTTCTGCAGCTGAAATGATGTAAAAGTAATAGGTATGTATTACTTGAGATTCATGCTCTGTACTCCTTCTGAATCACTGGATGACAGATCTCAGGGTTTGATGGTTGTGTCCTTTGCTGGAAGCACTGTTGATGCTGGAGTCAGAATGCTTTGGGAAGAATAGCAACAGGGAAGAGAGGGTATGGGCATCAGCAACTTGACGATATTTCTATGCTCAATCTATAACTTTTTCTAATTTTATTTTTTTTTTAAGTAAATAAGGTTACATTACCTTTTATTGAAAGGAAGCTACATCTGGAGTAGAACAACATTGCACTACCAGTGTTATAAAAGTAGGAAAGAATAATTGGCCAAAGTGCAACAGGATAGTGTTTTAGGGTACAATGGGATGCTCTTCAATACTGTAATGATAGCTGTGTATCCGCAGTATTTGCTTTGATCTTGATCATCTTGATCTGGAAAATCAAGTTAAATTTGAAGTGTGGAATTAGTAGTATCGTGTTCTGCAGTGTGTTTAGGGTGTTAGGACTTACAAGCTGAAACTTTTTAGCTGACACTTTTGCAGCACCTGAGTCTTCTTTGGCTGTCTTACACTTGTCTTGTGCAGTCTTGTTCAACATCTTACATATGAAGACAGCCTAAGGAGATTTGATTCTAGTTCTGATTAGATAATGCAGAAAGTTTACTTCTTTTTGTCACTAGTGCAATAGTGCCCCACTTGACAAACTTCTGAAATAATCCTGACTTATTACACTGTATGTGGATTGATACCAATGCTTCATTCTTAATGACTTTAGGAGTTAAATGTTGTCAGAAGTTTGTACATGTGAAATTCACCTGTTGCTGCTTAATATTAAGATGTACTTTGGATTTGTGCTTAGGTTCAGGCAAAAAACCTGAAAGGTAGAATGGTGATTGGAGTGGCTGCAGGCAGATTCCATACAGTGCTATGGACTAAGGAAGCAGTGTATACCATGGGGCTGAATGGCGGCCAACTAGGTAAGGCAGAAGCATTGTGAAAGTAAAACCCAGCCATTAAAAGATGTTATTCATACTAAAGCTGTCATCTGCTTCTTATAACAGAAGCCTGGTTAAAGCTTTCTCTACTCACTCTCTTTTTTTTTTTTTTTTTTTTTGATGACATCATCCCTTCACACTTCTTTTGAAGAATATTTTTCATTATCACCAGTCGCTTTCACATTTTGAGATGATGGGAGCTAGCCAGACTTAGCTCTGTTATTTGAACTCTTTATAATTCTTTCGTCTTGCATGTATCTTGTGTGGTCCTGCTACTGAAGACTTTCAGGAAACAGAATGTTGCTGTTTGTGTTGCAGATTACCCCAAGGTTTGCTTGTCTCCTTCCAGCAGTCTGGCTGGTACTGCCCTTAATAAACTATAAACTAGCATTCAGCTCTCCTGCCTATGTCCTTCTTTCACCATGCACTATAAACATACTACTGATAACTTTTTCCATGCTAACTTTTTAAACTGAAATGCTTGCCCATATCTAGAATTTTTTTCAACAATACCATTACCAGAATCTTTGCTTAACTCAGTATTATTCTAACGTCAAGAAAGAACCTAACAAAAATGTATTACCAACTAGTGAACTTCTTGATTTATTGTATGAATGGGATATTTTAATTGCTTTTGTCTTTTTTAATAAACAGGTATTGCAATATTGGTTTGGATTTGCATTTCCGCAGTTCTGTATCTGTGTGCAAACAAAACTGTTAGCTAGCTCTGGTACTTACAGTTAATCTGCATCTGTTCTGGCATCAGGTTCAGACACTTTTTTGTGTTCCTATTTAAGATTGCAAAGGTATGTGAAAAAAAAATTGTCTTTATCAGAGAAGTATCTGACTAATGAATGTTTGGGGTTTTTTTGTTTGCTTTTGGTTTTTTTTGTATGCACCCATCATATAAGTTTTTTTGTGGTTGCTTTTGTTGTTGAGATTATTCTGGTGTGCACATGGCCCACTGCAGTACCATATGGAGACGTAATTGGATCGTAAGCGGTATAGTTGTGTCAGCTGGGCGCTGTGATAGACCTTTGGTAATAAACCTCGCCTCTTTAAGATGTTTGGGCATAGCAGTGCACTGTCATATGGCAAGGTTGCTTCCAGCTTTAGAAGTAGCTCTGCTGCTTGTTCCTGGATATTTGTACCCTGATCTGCTCTGTGGTGCAGACATAAGTGTACACAGAGCAGGGTTATGTTATGTATGAGATTCTTTGTGTTAGGTTTCTTGATGCAGCAGAGCAGCAGTGGCCTGATTTTTTTTTTTTTTTTTAGTATGTTTTCAGAGACCTTGCATTACAGCTCCAACTTTGTCTGTTGTTTCACCTAACTGCCTACCTTCATGCTTACATGCACTTACAGTAATTTTTATGATAAGCTTGTTTGGTATCTACCTTCCAATGTCTGAAATAATCTATAGTTTATGCCAGTGTGATAGTATTTCCAGTGTCTTGAACTGTTATATGATCAAATAAACGTTCTTTCTTTGGAATCAAAGGCAGTACCACTATGGAGTCTAACCACATTAAATAGCTTTCCCTGTAGAATATGCCTTATTTCATTTTTTGTGTATCAAATCTTGAATGTTTTCTGGTGTTTGTGGTGAACTAACAAGTATGTGTGGTGGATCTCTTATCTGTCTAATTATTTTGAAGATGAATTATCTAACTACCTAAAAAATCTTTTAGAATTTAAAGGTTCTTCAAAGTAGTGTAGTAAAGTGTCCTTTAAATGCACAATGTGTGGAATGGCAAATAATGTTTTTGGGGTGTGTTGTATTTTCTAGGTTATCTGCTGGATCCTAATGGAGAAAAATGTGTAACTGCACCTCGCCAAGTTTCTGCTCTACACCATAAAGATATCTCTGTGTCCTTGGTCTCTGCAAGCGATGGTGCTACAGTATGCGTTACTGAAAGAGGAGATATTTATTTACTTGCAGACTATCAGTGCAAAAAGATGGCTTCGAAGTATGTGTTACTTTTCTAATTTGTCATGAAGAGCAATTGGTGAAGATTTCACTGTAGTCTTGTACTTGCAAGATATTTTAAAGACTTTTGTGCATAAAGTAGAGATAGTGCAGTGTTCCCCAGAGTTTTCGTCATTTGCAGTTCTTTCATATGAACTGCAGCTATCTTTTTTGTTTGCTTGTTTATTTGTTTTTGTTATTAGATGAAGCTAAGGTGCCACTCGCTGTTTACCAAAGATACTTAAAAAAAACATCCTAAGAGGAAATATTTTGTGCCATTGGTTTAAAAATATTGAAACTGGTATTTTTTGTTCATCTGTTAGCCTGAATTTGTATAAATGCATGTGGTAGAGGTGTTGAAGATCTGCTATTCTATTTAGTTATGTTGTTATGATTTTGAATCAGTAATTTGGGGTCTGAATTTCATAATTAATGTGTGGATATAGTATGTTATAAAGGGTAATTTAGGTTGCAAGGGGAACCCTCTGACATCATCTGGTCCATATGCTAAAACCTGGATGTAAAATCTATTGAAGAAACTGGGCCCATGACTCATAAATTTAGGAAATTATTTGATCCCATTCTCTCTTACTTAGTTTACAGTAACAGATTAGAAGGGGTAATTAGCATTTTTTCCCAGTTAACTCCCAGTTAGCTTTTCAGCTTCACTTCAAATTCTAGCAGTGTTTATTGACATGTTATAGTTTAATGATTATTTTATACTTCATTTTCTACATGGTTGTAAGTGAAGGTGCTGGCACTTGGAGAAACTTAATACCATGTATTGTGCTCTTATACTAAGAAACTGAAAAGAGATAACTTGCATGGTTTTGATCAGGTAAAAACCAAAACCCACCAAAAACCTGAGAAACAGCCTACTGGGATAGGATAGGTCTTTCAATACAAACAGCTAAATTAAATTTATACAGCTATAATTTTTGGAATGCTGAACATCAAAGGTAAATCATATACTGGTTTTCACTTACGGAATTTTGTGAAGAACCTGTGGATATGATGTGACTTACTTAAAAGCAAAGCAAGAATTACAATCTACTAATAGTATTTTATTAGCAGTTATGTTAGTAATACCAGTGGGGAGAAACTAAACTTAAGTAATTTTTCAGTGTCACTACCTCAACTGTGTATTTTTTTTTTTTTTGCTGCTTCTCTAAGTGAAAAAGGTAACTCTGTCATAGAAGCAACATCGATACACAATGAAGAAACACTAATTTAAACTTTTGTGTTCTTTCAGACAGCTGAACCTTAAAAAAGTTCTTGTTAATGGTGGATATTTGGAATATAAGGTAGATACCCAGCATCTTAAAGAAAATGGGGGTCAGAAGATTTGCATTTTAGCGCTGGATGAAGCTGGAAGAGTAAGTTGTGTCCTTAGAAATCATAATTACATAGCAAGCTGCGTACTGATTAATCGAACTTTAAAGATAAGAAGTTGACAGGTCAAAATCATGCGTAGAAAATACCCAATTCATTTGTGTAGAGCTGCTAGTGGTTTCGTGGGGTTTTTTGGTGTTTGTTTGGTTTTTTTTTAAAGGGCTATGATAAGACTACCAAAGTAACGTACAGTAGTTTATTTTTAAATCTGTGAACATCTTAACGGCTTTTCAGTGAAGGTGTAAACTCCTTTACTTTTACATACATAAGTGGTTATACAGTGTATATGGTCTGGTTTTTTGTTTTGTTTTTTTTTGCCATCTCTCCTTTCACCCCACCTACTCAGTCATCTTTACGCCCTCCAGAAATAGTCTCAGAAGTAGTCTCTGGACTTGAAGTTTTAGTGCCTTTGCTGAAAAGCAGCTGTTTTTTAGATGAGATGTCCCTTCAATTCTTGAAAAGTTGGTCAGTGGCTTAGTATTTATAGTTAAGTGTAGATACTGTGTTGTCTTAAAACTGGAATACTATGGCGGATTTATTGTTTTCTTCCCTCATTCTTTCATAGAGTAACAGTTTATAGGACCCTTCAAAACCCCAGACTTTTCTAGATCTGCTCATTAGGAGATCTAAACCTTCAGCGCCATCTAGTGGTGTTTACAAAAAGGTTTTGGTACTGAAATACTGCCTTCTTAAAGAATGTTAAAAACTGAGCTTGTATATCAAAATAGGAAGCAGTGTGGGTATTTCCTTTGCTTTCCTTGCATTTAACTGAATTATGTTTTGGGATGATCTTATCTGTTTATTAGGTCATTAGTTGTGTCAGAGATTATAAACTTCCAGTTCAGTATTTGTTCATGTGAGGTTTAGCCTCTAGCATCCGTAGTATTGGTAGTGCCCCTTCAACATCTTTGGGACACTGCTCTAGCAGTAAGAAACTACTTTGTCTTCCTGCATCAGTAGAACTATGTCAACCTACATTTCATATCTTTCCATGCTGAATACTGGCAAATACTGGGATCTTTAATGCTTTTAGGCATTATAAATTATTGAGTGAGGAGAGGGATGGAATCTTAATACTTCTGTTTCCTAAATCAGTGCTTCTTGACCTGGCTTGACTGTACCCTCTTTAAGAGAGTACTGTTTAGCCTAGAAAAGAGAAGGCTCAAGGGGGATCTTATCAATGTATATACATACTTGAAGGGAAGATGTAAAGAAGATAGAGACAGGCTCTTTTCAGTGGTGCCCAGTGACAGAACCAGAGGCAATGGGCACAAACTGAAACAAAGGAGGCTCAATCTGAATATCAGGAAGCACTTTCTTACTGTGAGGGTGATCGAGCACTGGCACAGGTTGCCCATGGAGATTGTGGAGTCTCCATCCTTGGAGATATTCAAAAGCTGTCTGGACACAGTCCTGGGCAACTGGCTTTGGGTAGCCCTGCTTGAGCAGGGGGGTTGGACTTGATAACCTCCAGAGGTCCCTTTCAACCTCAACCATTCTGTGATTCTGTAGGACTCAAGAGAGGGGAAAAGAAATAGGTTACTCAAATTCTTTTGTCCCCTCCTTATGTGGGTGTTAGCAGACCTGTGCAAGTCCTTCAGTGGGAGAAGACAAAAGCCCAACTTTAGCATCACTAATGCCACATCTGGGCTTTACCTTGCATGGGATTGTTGCTTCATGCTAACTTCTTTCAGACATCAACACTATACCTTGTTGGGGTCCTGCTGTGCATGCAGTTCTTCATGTTTCTGTTAAATGTTTTGAAGTTTGTGTCATGATCTTCATTCCAAAACCTTGGCTGGTACAGAAAAACTTGAGATTTTTGTCAAACTAATGGTATGACAAAAACGGAGGAAATGGTTTAAATTTTTGGTGTGCTAACTTTGAATTTTATCTGATTTATAAGCAAACCAGTTAGACAAATCTGTAAATTAAGAACTAGACTAAAATTGTTTCTTGACTTGATGACACCTTTTGCTGTCCTTTTTGAGATGTCAGTAAAAGCTGTCCTATAGATGACTGCTGTGAAGATGTTTGAATATTCAGAGAAGCTTTTCAAATACCCTTCATGGGCAAATGGATCTTGATATCATAATAGATTTTCCCTGTTTTACTTGTGGGTTTGTTGTAATAGGTGCTCATGACACTTTAGGATATAATTTTGAGGAATATCTTTCTCCTTTTATATGCAACTTTGAGATTATATGTTATTGTGTTTAAAAATGTAGTGTGTAATATGTAACTGCTTTTATATGATATGAGGATTTCTCCTTCTCTGAAAAAAATTATATTATAGGTGTTCTGCTGGAAGTCATCTAACAACTCTATGAAGCAGTGTCGTTGGGTGTATGGCCGGCAAGTCTTCATGTCCGATGTTGCTTTAAATAGGAATGAAATAATGTTTGTCACGCAGGATGGTGAAGCCTTTACAGGGAAGTGGCTGGAAGAAGGGAAGAAAATCTCAGAAAAGAAAGGTTAGCTGTGATTTCTTAATTGTTTTTTAGTACTTCAAATAACTATAAAAGTTTAATCGAATCTTTACAGTCTCTAACAGTATTGTGTGCCGAGTTCATTCTTTCCTCTGTGGCTGATGGTTGGTAGCATTGACCACACTCTTCTCTTTCCTCAATAATACCAAGATTTACTTACTTTGCAGCCTTCAGTTAACCTTCAGGTGGAGATTTCCAGGAATAAGAGTACTTCTGAAGAGTAATAGTAGCACAAGGCTCCAGTGTAATGATCTTGTCACATACTAGATGGCCAGTCCTAAGAGACTGGCATTGAACAAAAGAAGGAGCATGTACTTGCTTGGACTGCTAAGTCTGTGAAACCTTATCATGTTTCCCAGATCCTTATCTGGGCATAATACAGGCACCAGAGCAATTTCCACCTTATTAACTTGGCTCATATTGCTGAGAGTAGGTCCTGATGGATTGTTTTTCTGCGAGGAAGGTACCTGTCTACTATAGGACAGGATTTTAATGGAAACTGTCAGCTCTGTTCATGTAGGAGTCTTAAAACTCTATGGATAGAAATGGATTTACTTCCAACCTGGGATATATTTGAACTTTATAGTATTATGTTGCAGTTCTACTTCCTTTGATACCAAGATTCCATCTTTAGTTTTATTAGTCCATTTTTGCATTCTTTCACAGCAAAAATCTTTCCTCTATTGCTCAATGTAGAGTTGCATATTAGTTTTACTCTGTTGCTACTTTCTTTTATTCTACACATCACATAGTAATTCCCTCATTACAGAGGCACCAAACGCCATCTCCGTTTTGCCTTTTTTGTCCTGGTGCTGGTATGTATCTGTAGGCACTCTCTTCTTTCTGCTTATTGCTGTTCTTTTTGTAGTTTTAGTATCTTCAAGGAAACTTCAGAATCCAGACCTGTTGACTAGTTGAGTGTCTAGTTGATATTCGTCACTGATTTGTAATGAATGAGAGCTTCTGGTTTTTTGAGAGGTTTTAATGAATGTGGTGAATGGTGTGCATGTATTTCATAGAATCATAGAATCATAGAATCACTAAGGTTGGAAAAGACCTCTAAGATCATCAAGTCCAACCGTCAACCCAACACCACCATGCCCACTAAACCATGTCCCTAAGCGCCTCATCTACACGTCTTTTAAACACTTCCAGGGATGGTGACTCCACCACTTCCCTGGGCAGCCTGTTCCAAGGCCTGACCACTCTTTCAGTGAAGAAGTTTTTCCTAATGTCCAGTCTAAACCTCTCTTGGCACAACTTGAGGCCATTTCCTCTCGTCCTATCTCTAGTTACTTGGGAGAAGAGACCAACCCCCACCTCGCTACAACCTCCTGTCAGGTAGTTGTAGAGCGCGATGAGGTCGCCCCTCAGCCTCCTCTTCTCCGGGCTAAACAGCCCCAGTTCCCTCAGCCGCTCCTCAGAAGACTTGTTCTCTAGACCCTTCACCAGCTTCGTTGCCCTTCTCTGGACACGCTCCAGCACCTCAGTGTCCTTCCTGTAGTGAGGGGCCCAAAACTGAACACAGGATTCGAGGTGCGGCCTCACCAGGGCCGAGTACAGGGGCACGATCACCTCCCTCCTCCTGCTGGCCACACTAGTTCTGATAGAGGCCAGGATGCCATTGGCCTTCTTGGCCACCTGGGCACACTGCCGGCTCATGTTCAGCCGGCTGTCAACCAGCACAACGTTATGCAGTTCTTGAAAAATAATCCAGTATTCGGAGAATATCATGTTTTTTCAATAGTATTTTGTTAGTTTGGGTATAATTTAACAGATATAAGATGAAGTCTGAAGGCAATTGTATTATATCTGCCATAATGGATATGACAGGAGAAGAAAACAATCTTGCACTTCTGTACACTGATGCATAGCTTGTTTCATTCCGCAGGAGGTTGCATTGAATGTTAGATGGAGTGTTTTCCCTTAGATGAAGAAGTGGCAAAACACTTCCACAGAAGTTCTGGATAAAAACTCTCCTATATGTAATGTAAAGTCTTATTCTTAAAATGTCTTCCTGCATTTCAATTAAGCGAGCTGAAATCTTCAGCATAATTTAGCCTTACTCAGTGACTCCATCAATGGACTTACAGAAGTCATAAATCTTGCCTTTTTGTTTTATCAGTTGTATTTTAGTTAGCTGGACCTTTCTGTGCTTTTTTTTTCAATTTTTTTTTTTTTTTTTAGCAGAACTTGTATCGAGCCTTCAGAATTCTTCATGTGATGTGTCTTGTGAACATGATACAAACAGTGTGTATGAAAGAATTCGACTTCAGAAGCTTACTTTTGTCCACCGAGCTGTTAGTATTGCCACCGATCCTAACGGTTGCAATTTTGCTGTTTTACAGTCAGATCCTAAAACAAGGTATATTTAAAATATCAACAGCTGTATTTTTTCTCTTTTTTGTGTGTGTGATTGCAATTAAATCGTTCTGCTTTTCAAAACCATTTTCTGGCTCATACAGAAGTCACAGTAAATGTGGTTGTCCATACTGCTAGAGAAAGCACTTGTTAGTAAAAAACTGTGTTGAAGTTACCCAAAGACCTCAGCTTATATATTTGCATAATTAGTATAGATACTGTTGGTGTTTTATCTAAAGTGTTTAAGGCAAGCATTTGCGATGCATTTCTTAACACACTGAGCTCTAACTACTTTAGAAATTCACCCCTTTAGTAATCACCAATAATCAGCTTTTAAATAAAAGTGCAAAGTGGATCTTTATTTGTTTGGAAAAAATGTTTAAAGTAAAATGAATAAGTAGAATACTGAACCGTGTGCCTTGCACTCATAATAGTTTCCAATAAGTAAATATTAGCTTTTTTTTCTTATTGCTTTGGGTTGTAATATGAAATACAGCAAATATTTCTGTGTTTTCTTGTTGGAAAAATGAGATGAAGATAAGATAGTTCTGATAATACATATTTACTGGCTACATTATAAAGACAAAATACTATATTTGATATTCTGAAGCTAGACAGATCTTACATATGTGGTTTAATTGCCTAAATACCATATTATTAATTCTTTTTGTAAAGAATAGGACAAGAAATGTTCAGTAGTCCAGCAATGTAAAAAAACCCCAAACAAACCAAATGGAAACAACCTCACCCTCTTCATTAAAGATACTACGTAAAATTTTATGGAGCTTGTAAATAGTGGTGGGTTTTTTTTTTTTTTGATGGATTTCATTTTGTTCTAGTCTCTATGAAATTCCAAATGTGTCATTGTCAAGTTTCGGAGAGGATTTTGGCAAACTGTTAGATGAAACAGATGAAATGGACAGCATCCATGATGTGACTTTTCAGATTGGCACAAGAACTTACCCCGTGCACAAATACATTTTGGCTGTACGCTCCGACTTCTTCAAGAAGCTGTTTGTTTCCAGTGACAACCAGCTAGACACTCCAGACGTCTACCGTAAAGATGAAGATGCTGTTGGATGTGATCTTTATGTAATAGATAAAGTTCATCCAGATCTGTTTGCATACCTTCTGCAGTTCATATACACTGATACTTGTGATCTTTTGACTCATGGTTGTAAACCAAAAATCCTGCATAAAGGAAAATCGGAAGAATATCAAGATACTTTAATTTCTAACCTGAGCAAAATGAGTTTTGATGAAAATGTTAATGGAAAGTCTGCATTTGAGATCTATAGAAATAATCAAGTGCAAGTTATAAATGAAAAACAGAAGAGCAAATCTAAAAAAGGTAAAGTTGTTGGTGAAGAAGCTAACCTCATAAAAATGTTGCAAAGTGCTGCAAAGAAGTTTGGACTCAGCAATTTAAGTGGAAGGTAGGTGAAAGGAAGTGCATTTATATTCTGGCAAGCTCTTCACTGAGTGTTTTTATGTAAACTGATTTAACTTCAGTTGTTATTAAAGTAGAAGGCTAGTTGGGGTTGATAAGTTTGCCTTTTTTTGCTTGTTTTATTGTTTGTAAGTATTTACAGCACGCACCATGTCATCTCTTTAAAGCAACATCAGTTTGTTCCCATGCTCTCTGCTAAGAGAAAGCATGTAGGACCTTTTTGAATAATGTCAGAAGCAGACTTCTGTAGCATGATTATGTACTTAAAGCATCATTTTTCAATAGGCTTCTGTATGATGGGAATGTGCTGTTGGCCTTTATTGTGTCCAAGAACGTCTTGGACATTTGTATTTAAAACATCTGTCCTGTGTACCTTTTAAGGCATGAACTCTCTGAGACTTGACATCTGATGCAAGTCATCTGACTCTCCAGAATGACTGTCATAAAACATCAATACTTGTTTTGTTAGAGACAGCTGATCTAATTGAGTTTTGGATTGATGAATTTCTATGCTGTGGTCCGTAGTCTACCAGTTTTTCCATAGACAGTGAACCTATTTAGCGTAAAACAACACAAAGCAAAGTTAAATTCTTGTTTAACTGATGCATTTTTAATGCTACATGGTGAAACTAATGGAATTGAGACCAGATGTCTCTATAGAACTGTATTACTCAGTTGGGGTTTTTTTCTGCATTTGTCTTTTCCTTTCAAAGGAGGGAATGAGCTTTCTCAGGGCAGTTTTCTTCACTGTATTTTTCACAAACACTAAAATTAATCAGCAAAGATGTGAAGCTGCTGCTAAGACTGAGTTCCCAAGTAAAATTTCCATGTTAAAGCACTTTCCCTTTGAAAATCTATTGCTTTGTACTCCACCAGCAGCAGTCCTGTGTCTCTACCATCCCATTCACAAGCCTCCTTGATAAATTAGGGTGCTAAAGAAGCCTGTGCTGAAACACGCATCTCTTTGTCTTTGCTCAAATAACTGACTGGTAGCAGTACATACAACTCCTAGATTTTTGATCCTGTGGTGTTGGACTTTGGCCTTAACTATAGCAGTGTAGCTTTCATCTAAGATAATAAATAAGATAGCTAAGATGTGGAAAGAATGTCAGTTACATTTTATATCTGCAGTGAAGACTTTCAAGTAACAACTGGCCCTTTCTAGTTTTCTGCGATGAATGATTTTGATCCTTTTTCATATTCACAGTATGAGCCCACTGAAGTGCTGTTACTTTGCGAAACTGTTCTTCTTAATGGTTTGAACTGTATACTAATTGTATTACTTACTACTAATGTTAATGATTTGCAGGTTGGATGGAGTCAGGTTAGAAAATGGAAAAATTAATGTTGTCAACAAGAAGAATGGGAACAAACCGAAGTTAAATCAGAAGAAATGGTAAACTTTTAAAATCAACTTCCCCTACCCCCACCATCTTCCTCTTATGTCATCTCTTTATCTGTTAAGTGTAGGCTAAGGTTGATCAGCTGCATTTTAACTTCTAGTGTACAGTTGTCTCTTTCACAGTAACTCATGTTTGGAAGTTTTCTATAGATGCTTATAGACTGATCTGTGAATTAGTAATCTGGGATAGAATGTGTGTGGTATATTTTTGTTTCTTTTTGCTGTACATTAATGTGTTTTGTGGATTAACTTATAGAATACTAATGCCAGGAGAAATGTTGTGGGTAATCCAGTCAAAAGCAGTTTAACTTTTGCAAATATGCTTGCTGTGACAATAAGACTGTATGGATTGGAAATAAGCAAATGTATAATATTTTTTCTAATTAAAAAAATCTCTGGAATATCTTTCAATAGAAAAATTCCTTATACTTTTATCAAAGTGATGTTTGTTTTTTAATTCCATTGGTGTGATTGGGTTATTTACACCCAAAGGTTTGAATAGTCTCCTTAACGTAGTAAAAGCTACATTGCATAAAAGTAGCTTTTTCACAGAATTTGGATTACTTCACTCTTAAAATGCATTGTCAAAGGTTATAGTAGCTACTAATGTAAAAGAAACAACTAACTTAACATAGACCATTTAAGATTGACTAAAATTAGCCATAATTAATTTATTTGGTCATACCAGTTTTGAAACAGTAATTGACTGTGTTTTGAAGGAGATACTTCAGATGGAATTTTGAGAGCTCAACTTTGGTCAAAAAAATTTATCTCTTGAAACTATGGTGCCTGTACTTTTAGGTTCATTTTATATGATATTGTTAAAGTTCAGCTGTGTTTTATTTTAAAAGATAAATCCCAACTTGCTAAAGTAAGCATTTATTGTAGAGTTTACAACTTGTAGCTCTTCTGAACAGTCACAGTTCTGATCCTATTAAATATCTTCTAGTTCGTACCTCTGCGATGTGACCCTGAAATCTTTAGATGGAAAGGAATTCCCATGCCATAAGTGTGTACTTTGTGCAAGACTTGGTATGTGTGTGTATTTTTACATACATATAATATAAGTCATATTTTTAACTGAGATTTTATTGCATCTTGAACTGAAATGCCTTTCTTTACAGATTATTTTCACAGCATGTTAAGCAGCTCATGGATTGAGGTAAGCTTGCCAATAAACGTGTGGTAGTATGTTTTGTTGGATCAAATAAGTGACAGCTTTTCAGTTTTTTCTAGAATGACATATCCTAAATACTGGGGGAAAGGAAAGGCTGGATTCTTGGATCCTGTTTGCAAGAAAAAAAAAACCAACACATTTTTGGTTACTCTATATTTGTAGTATTGAGATTGTGTATTAAATGAGAGTAATAAATGTAATAATGTATATCAAAGGAAATTAAAGTATTACTTTTGTTTTAGAGGTTTATTTTGAGCTAGTTCATGGATTTATAAAAGCTGCTGGACTGTTCTTATGGGGTACTGCTTTGGATCAATTTTCATTTTCTTTCTGTAAAAGATCTTACAATTTAAATAGTATGCAGTATGGAATAGCTTTTCATATGTACTGAGTGAAAGATACAGCAGAATCGAGAGTCAATGTGTAGAATCTGTAGTTGACTTACTGTTAATGAAATAGAGGATACCAAGGACTATTCCACTTGGTCACCAGCTGCTGCTTCAAAAGGTGTAGATCTTTCATTTGTCTTGGTTCCTATTTGCTAGTGGTGTGTCAATGCCCTGGTTGTTCCTGGACATCGTAATTTCACTAAATGCCTCTGTTTAAGTATCTGAATGCTTGTTGAAAGAGAGGAAAGGTGTAAATGGAGAAGCATTTTTCAGAGAGTGAAAGCTGAAGCAGTGTGCAAGCGTTTTCCCAACTTTCATAGCTTTTTGGCAGTATGTAAATCTAAAAACCTGGCAAAGTACTGGCAGTTCTCTTCTGCTGCGTAACAGAACTTTACCTGTCCTCTAAGTTACTGTGCTGCCTTTCCCTCAGTCATCGCTGAGGAAACATATCCGAAACACTGTGAGACAAGTGATTGATTTTTTTTTTTTTTTTAAAGTGTTGAATGTCCATTTGTATCATTGATTTCTGTATCAGTTGTATGTAGTTCGTAAGTTATCTATTATTTCGTAAGTAAATCTAAATCATACTAAATTCATGAGTAAATATTTTGTGAATCAAGTGCTCTAGATGTTGTATAAAAATCTTAATGTCTGTAACAGGTTTTTCAACTTCAAATGGGAAATACCAGTAGCATGTTCTAAAGCAAAAGAAATCTTTTAGTGTAAAGCTTTGCTTCAGTACCACCTGAAATAAACCAAAGTTGTTAAGCAGTGATGTTGCATAAACTTGAATGGTGACAATTACATGATTTAATGGCTAGTGTTTGGTCATACAAAAGCTTTGCCTCAATGGTTAAGATGGTTCTTCAAATGGAGGGTTTGCTGAGGACCTTGTTTTCTGAGGGATTAACGGTAATGGCTACTTTCGTTTTATTCTTGCATGGGAACTTGTGATTTCACTAGATCTTTTACGTTGAAAGGAAAGCAGTTCAGTATTTGCATAGGGTTTCCTGTACTTCTACTTTTAGGCAATTGTGGGTAAAGTAATATAATCAAGGAGGATTGTTAGAGAAGATGCTCAAACTGGACTGTTTCATGCATAAAAATTTCATGGAATAAATTTCAGAAGTTTGGGCAGATTTTAATTGCTCTGCTACAATCAATTCTTAATTGAAGAACTTGAACAGATTTTGTGCAAATGCTTAATAATTGTTTAACTTTGAAAATGTGACCCTCAGTATGAGTCATTTGCTAAATATAATTGCTGTCTTAGTTTTGTATTTTATTCCAAGAAGTCAGCTTCTTTTACTCTTTTTGTTTTTTTTTTTTAATCCTTTTGCCTTTTAGGCTTCCTGTTGTTCAGCTCTGGAAATGCCAATCCATTCTGACATACTACAGATAGTTGTAGATTACCTGTATACAGATGAAGCTCTTGCGATAAAAGGTGCCATTAATATATTTTCAACTCAGCTATAGCTCCTGCAATTTTTATATTTTTAAAATAGAAATTCAATACTTAATATGCTTGAATTGAAGTTTTATGTAGAAAATCCAAATTTTTGTGACTCTTGCTTTGTATTTTGAGGTGATAGTTGTACCCCGGGCCTTTTTGTACCTTTTCTTTAGTTTGTCAAACTGCAGTTTTCCTTTTCCCTCCTTCTCTTGCTTCAAAAAAATGATTGCTTGTGCTCTTTTAAGCTATTCCTAGTGCTGTGAAAATCCCATCAAAATTTGCAAAGCCATTACATTTGTCCTTTGGTAAAATCTCATTGAAGCTGTATGTGTTATACTTAGTTTTGACTTGCCCACAGTGTTTACGTGATGCTTTGTTTTCCAGACTCTCAAAATGTGGAATTCATATGTAATGTTCTTGTGGTAGCAGACCAACTTCTTATATCCAGACTCAAAGAAATCTGTGAAGTAGCCATTGCAGAAAAACGTGAGTTCTTCCACTTGTATTTTAAAGGGTTAGAGAATAAAAACCACTTTTTTTAGATGTGAATGGTCTTGCCCATGTCACTACAGAATTATTTGCTTATATTCCTTTGCTCTGATTACCTTTTGCTGTTCATTGCATAGCTGTTAACAGTTGCTTCTTTAGTCTGGGTGATGTTCTAGGTTAGCATAATCTTCCATGCATCATTGTCTTCATCTCATGATCTTTCATAAAAGAAAAAAAAAGTAGAAAAAACAAAAAGCAAAAAAAAAAAAACCAAACCCACTACAATAAATAAACAAAACTTTTATAAAACCTTTATTTCATTGAATTCAAACTTCTTGTCTTTCAAACATGATAAAATGAATTCTATGTTTCTGTTTCTGTCCTCGTATTTAGTTCTACTAGTTCTTTGTTTGACACAGTGCTGTTTCTATATGGCTATGAAGATTTGTCTCTCCTAGAAAACACTTAAGTGTTGCTGCTTAGCTTCATACAGGAAGTCAGCATACAATTTTTGCTTGGCATTTCTTAGTTACTTCCGTTTTTCTCTCTTTCTCTCCCCCGCTCCCTACCCCTTCATCCCCCTTTTTTTTCTTTGTCCCTGCTAAAGGAACATTTGGAGCTTTAAGAACTTTTATGCTGTATATGAAACTTGCTATTTTTAACTTTGTTTTTTCCCTTTTGTTTTGGACTGCTAGGTTTCAATATATTGAAACTGATAGGTTTGTAGGTAGGGCCTTTCTATTTCTGTGAAGCAACCATTGCATTCAAGCTGCTACGAAGCTATGTGGAGCTTGCTTGTAGTTTATGGCCGTTTGAGCATTAGCATTTTTTCTAGGAATGGAGAATTATATGATGTTTTAATAACTAGATCACGCTGTGCAATGTCTTAAAAACTGCTGCATGGTATTGCAGCACGTTATCCGATTTAGTTTGTTGTGTTTCTTCTTTGCAGTTACTTTAAAGAATGCTGCCGAGCTGTTGGAGTTCTCAGCAATGTATAATGCTGAACAGTTAAAACTGTCCTGCTTGCAGTTCATAGGACTCAATATGGCAGCTTTGCTTGAAGCAAGGTAAGGAGGAATGCAAATGTGTTCATGTACTAGCTGTTAAATTCAAACATCCCAAAAAGGCAAAAGAGTTGGAAGAACTGATAGGAGCACTTAAATGTTAAAATGCAACTGAATGCTGCTAGTTTAAAGAGAGGCTCGTTTTTTGCCGAACAGGAAGAGAGAAACTAGTTAAATATCTGTACGTACTGTACCGGTTCTATAGTACAAACCCCTATGTTTATAATCTGGCATGAAGAGCCTGGATTAAGGGGAAAAACCTCTCTTGAATTCAGTGGGCTTTGACATTAGGCCTAATCTTGTTTGGGTTTTTTAAATTGTTTTTGAAGATGCATAAAACTGCGGTGGTTTTTGTTTTTTGTTTTGTTTTGTTTTGTTTTCAATATGATAGTTACTATGCAAATTGAATTTATTTTAAGTAGGTTTATTATAGCTGGTGCATTTTCCAAAGAGGGCCTGCCTTCTGGTAGTCTCTTTGCTTTAACTGTCTGCAGTGAGGGCTGAACAAATTAATTAATTACCCTTGCTTTCCACAATGTTTCAGCTAGGGTTCTAAGAAGTTGAAGGTGTGCTCTGGCCTTCCTTCTCTTAATGCTTTTGGACAGGGCTTCAAGTTGCTTCCAGAGTACATACCATCTTCTCAGAGCAAGCCTTATCAGCACTGATTGAACTTCTTTTCTAGCAAAGACTTTAAAAAAACCCCCAAAACCCCTCAAAAAACCCCCAACCAAACAAAAAAAATGCATCTCTATTACTGGTCCACTCTGTCCACTCCTAGCCTTTTTGTCATGCTTCCTTTTACCTATAGAAGTTCTAAGAGATCTGAACCAGTTGAGAATGCCAGCACTTCATTGCTATGTCACACAACTGCTTGCATCACACAGGAATTCATTCATATTTGCAATTTTCCTCTTCATGTCTTTATATAAAGTATAAACATTTTAACCTTTGATTTTGGAGAGAAGAGTGAAAATCTAGTAACATTGTCTTAAGTATTATTCTGAATTCAGATTTGTTTTGTCTTAAGCCTGGAAAGGACATGCAACATTCTTACTACAATTAAGACCGGATCTGCATTTTAGTGAAAATCTGAAAATGTCATTACTGTGTAGCAAGACTTTTAATCCAACACACCTGACAGCTTTGTGCAAGGAGGGCTGCTAATGTGGGCAAGACAGTTCTGTTGAGTGAAGTTTGTTGCTGTAGTATTATTTTTTGGCATAAATATCAAGGGATGTTGTGGCTGAGTTTTACAGAAGAATTTGCATAGACTTGGAGTATTAAATACATGTCAGGAAGACTTGAAAGTATGCAGAAATAGGTAAAGTAATGGCCAGTTCATGGTAACTTAACTATATATGTCCATATTGGCTGTGGCCCTAAGTAAAGGTAGGCTGTCTGGAAAGGTTGTGGGTTTAATCCTGCCTTACAACAAGGGTATTGCCTAGTTTATATTTTGTATTCATTTTCTTCGTTCTGACTCTGTGACCGCCATGAATAGGTAATAATGCCTGTAGGTGAGATTCATCTAAAACATTCATTTGAATTTTTCATTAATGTGATTTTTTTTTTTTTTTTTTTAAGCTGGTAAGATAAATTTGTATTTATTTTTTTAGGACTCTGGATGTCTTAAGTGATGAAGTTGTAAAGGATCTTTCTGTTTATTACAGGAAAATGGTAAGTTGTACAACTTGAGTGTAAGCTGATCAGGTTTAAAATGAGAACAGATAAGTAATACGTACCTGCAGGGTCTGTTGATGACAGGCTAAATGTGGAACATGTGACTCAAAAGCTAAGGTTAGCTGCTGCTGTTATCACTCTCATGGAGCTCATATTTCATTATTCAGTAGCCACTGCTGCAACAATATTGTGTCCTTTAAATTAATTAATTATACACATTAAACGTCTTAATGTTCTGTAATTAACAATTGTTGCATGAAAAAACATAAGCAAAACCTATGGAAAAGAGCATCTGTTACTTAGAAGAAAGGAGAAGAAAGCAAATTAAACTTCTCCAGTGTAAAGTTCAGGGTGATCATATAGTTCTTAAAAGCAGTAAGAAAAATAACGTGAAAGTTGAACTTTAATGCAAAGGGGAAAACCGAGGCACATTATAATCCAGTGTTCTTTAACTGTACAGTAGTAAAAGTTGAATGTTTTCAAAACCTTGAAGCATTTTTTTGTCAGGAATTATAGGCACTGAAACATGTGCATTCTGAGTCTGTCACTTAAATAATTCTCCTTCTGTTTTGCTTATAGATGTAACTTAAGTTTATAAGCTGGTTAAATAATTAATTACTTGATCTGTAAAAGTGTTTTAAATGACAGTCAGTTTTGGTCGTTTTACAAGAGATCATATATTTGCTAGCATGCAACTTAAGGGAAACTTAGTGTAACGGCTTTTACAACTACAGATTCCGGCTATGGTCAGGAGAGTAATTACTCCATATCCAGATGGACCTGACATAAGTTCTTTTGAGCCTGAAGATGGAGAGAACTTTGTCTTTTTAAGGGAAGAAATGAATACTGAACAAAATTCTCAGTAAGTATGTATTTTTCATCAACATTTTTAACTAGGTGAGCGCTATATGGTACTTATCCTCCTTTGGATGGTGCCTGACTCCCTTTGGGTTCAGAATTGAAGTATTAAGAAACAGGAGAAGTGGAGATTTCAAAGACTGTTCTCAGTTCTCTTAAGCATTTTAAAACGTTACAGAGCTGCAGTGGAGCACTTTTTTCAATTTAGAAGTAGCATGTGAGTAAAGGTAGCAAAACAAGCATTCACAGTAATGTTGGGAGTTGTGCATGTGATTAGAGTACCTGTGTATGTATGAGACCAACTGTGGAGTTCATTTGAATCAAAAGAGAAAAAACCAGACTTTAATGTACTATAGATCTGTCTGGAAAATTGTGATAATCTACATTTCTTAATATTAATGGAATTGTCATGTGAAATACGAAGTTTTGTAGCATGAGTTTTTAATCTGTCAGTTTAAAGTGGCTACTGTCTGGCTGTAGAATAACAAAACAAGCAACCTGTGTTTAAGAGGTGTTAGAAAATGTGATCCAAACAACTGTAGATCAGGTAGTTTGGCCTTGGTGGTTTTGTGGACTTCTGGTATTCTGTCTTTGAACACTTGTTCTGAAGACATAGAAATGAGAGCAATAATAGAATCTGTAAAGTCTTGTCAGACTAACTTAATATGCTGCTTTTCTCTGACAAGCAAATAATAAAATTACAACTGCTTTTTTTGGTGCAGTTTTTAAACTGGAGAAATTGACTATGTCATCACAACTATGAAAAGTTAATTTGATAGGATGACTTGGTAACATGCTTCCAAATAGTGAAATATGATGTCACTGTGCAGATGAGACCTCACCTGCAGTATTGTGTACTGTTCTGACCACTTGTGTCAAGAAAAGTTATGCTAAATGAACTAGTACAGATAAGGACTAGTAGATCAAGGGAACTGAGAAGCTATTTTGTATTAGACTTCAAGCCTTTCAGTGTTTTCAAAGGCTAGATGATAGCCTTTAGGGAATATGGCAGCTCAAGGATTAAAAAAAAAACCGCAAGCATTGTAAGATTACAGTATTGATGCAGGAATGAATAAGTACATATATAGTTATTCCACATAATCTATTCCACAGAAATAGGATTACTGTAGCTGTGATTCATATAATTCTGAATTTCTAGTACTTTTGCTAAAATGAAAGATGCCTTTTATTTGATTCCACTCTTTCTGGTATATACTGGAATGTGACACTTTGGTAACATGACCATATACCTGCTTTATTGTGGAAGTAGTATTATCTTGGTGGCAATATTTGTGTTGGGGGAAAAATGAGACCAACTGTGGAGTTTATTGAACTTCACTAATTTAGGAGAAATCAAGAGAGGAAAAAGTGGAGACTTGGATGTAGTTTGCTTTATGTCAGTTGCTGCGATGTGTAGCAGGTTTAATCTGACCTAGGTGGCAGTGCCAGCCTATGCAGCTGCTGTATCTTCTGTCTGAGCAGAAGTCTTTGTGCAGTGTACTAGACCAGAGTCTAGATCTAGATTGGAAGGAATTTTTTCTCTTCTTCCTGGATTTCCGCCCCCTCCCCAAATCATTTACTAAGTTCTGCCAGTGCATAAGCAGAGCAAGAACAAGCCGCTAGTAACCGGTGGTGGGACCAGGTATTACTTCTTGAAGTATAACTGCTGCTGCTGACTGAAAAACTTGACATTGACACTGGCAGTTCTGAGGCTCAATTTCTTTGGCTTTAATCCATCTTGGGTTTTTTTTGTTTGTTTGTTTTTAAAGGGAAGCCCTTTTCAAAAGAGCAAAAACTAAGGCAAAAAAGAAACCACGAAAACGGTCCGACAGCTCTGGAGGATACAATCTATCAGATATTATTCAGAGTCCAGCCTCTACAGGTCAGTGGGAAAGAGGTTCCTTTCAGGTATAAAAAAAAGAACATAAAGTTTAATATGCAATGCAATGTGATTTCTATACTTTAAGGAAATCTTGCAAAGATTATTTCTTTTTTAGTGAACACCATAGTTGAACTTGAATAGTGGATTCTTAAGATTAAGTTTTGTTTGAAAGGATGTTTGTCATATTAAGCTTGTGCCCAAAGTTCAGAAACTGTAAAAGCATGTATTTTATCAAATAAAGTTAATGGACACTTTCCCATGTGGTTTTAATAAGTGGAACAGTTCTGCTAATATGTTTTTTTTTTTATATGGAATATAAAACATAAATTAGTCATTGTTTATTGAAAAGATGGTAAAAGCCTTCATTTTCAACAGAAAAGTGTCAGTGTTACTTCCTAAAACTTACATTGTGAGACAGAGAAAGAAAACTGGGAGTAATCCTATTCTGAAAAAAATATTTAAATTTGCTTATACTTATTGCAATCTAGTATACTGGACTAGGTAAACTTCTGGTTATTTTGCATTTATCATATGGAGTGAATAACTTTCGTTTTTTTTAAGCATTGTTTAGTCCGGTTCTCATGATTTAATAGTTCTGCTCTCTTTTCTTATTTCTTAGGCTCAGTAAAACTGGATAAAACTAACTCTGTAGAATCACTTCCAGAACTCTTAACATCTGATTCTGAAGGTAGTTACGCAGGAGTGGGTAGCCCCAGAGACTTGCAGTCCCCCGACTTCACAAAAGGATTTCATCCAGAGAGGACTGAGGTTGGATTTCTTTGTTCCTAGCAATTTATTTGTTTGTGTTTATCTAGTCCATCAAAAGCAGAGTTTGTATTTTGGAATGTTTCTGAGAAGCTGTTGTCCTTAAAATGGAGTAGACAACTTCAAGTAGTTATTGTTCATCTGATAAAACAAATAAAAATGAGTATTCCTTATTAAATCTTCTAAGGGTAATTTATTCAAGTGGTACCATAATAAGAATTCTTATATACCATAGTATTCAGAAAATTTCAAACCGAAAGAGCAATTATGTAAAATCTTTATCTACTTCATTTAAAACGCAAAGCAAATCTGAAGTTCAGAAGCCAAAAAACTCCAGGAAAATCCTGCTGTTCTTTGACTACTGTAGTTGGACAGAAGTATGGTCCGGGATAACTTAGGCATAACTGGCAAAGAGAAATAACTTTGAGAGAATTGTGCCTATGTTAAGTGTTACAGCTTTAGAAGTGAACATCTCCGAGTGAATTTTCCACTATCGAGATGCATATTTGGACTTAAATGATTCAGGATGAAGTGTGAAGCGGGGAGAAAAAAAAAGGTACAAATAGCAGACTGATCAGGGACTCGCTACATTATTGCTGTTTTTGAGGTATCCTTTAAAATCTTTTCACTTACACATGTCATTCATGTTGTTTGTAGCATCTGTCTTTTTTTTCTAAATGAAAAAATGTGAGAATATTTATTCAACATTTTTCTGTCTTTTTTTAGATGAACGACAAAGCATGCAGTCAGGGTATGAAAACCTCTCAACCTAACAAGGAGATGAAGTCATACAAGGGATCATCAGCATTGACACAGTCTGTTCCACAGTCTATTCCCAGTGCCAAAAACAACTCTGCAAGCTCTCCCAATTGGGTAGCAGCCAGTTTCAGGTGGAGTAATAGTTGTGGTGCCTACCTAGCTTATAATCACTGTTCTACGCTTGGTAGTGAATGCTAATAATATTCTATTCAGACTGAAAGGCTACCTGCTCTTCAAAATGATGATACATTACTTGACATGTGAATTAAAGATTTTGGTAGTTTAATAAAACTGGTACATTTTTAAATTTTTCTTTGAGAAAAGTAATTGCTAGATTTTTTTTCTTTTTTTTTAAGTGCTACCAGTCTGGACTTCTAATTCCTTTTTTTAGAAGGCCTGCTTGGTTAACACTTTGCTAAATACTTGGCAGTTTTTTGTAGAATCAGACCATGCTTGAAGCCATTAGAAGCACCATTGTACTTTGACATTTTTAAGCCATGTCTTTAGACTTAAACGGTCTATGAAAATCCACACCACAGGTTTAACTGATGCAGTAATAAAAAATTGATTATTAATTTTTACCTGTAGCAGTATCTGCATATGAAAAAGCACCAGTACTGTAATAGACTGAAATTCTGTCTTGCCTGGTGTCCTGTCTCTGACAGTTGTCAATAAAGGTTGAATAGAGAAGAGTTTAAAGATTTAGGGAATCACATAGCGATAATTCCCCACAGTTTTCCCAGGCTCACAAACCATTAGTGAACAAGAAACTGATTCCTAAAGTTTGAGAATGTTACTGGTGTTTGTACAGAGCTCTAACTTGCGTAGTGTTCTGTTTGCCATGTGAAAGAATTTTAATCCTGTTCTTCAAAGAAAGATCTAATTCAACCTTCGTGAAAGAGCTGTGAGCAATGCCTCTTTAATACTTAGCATGAGCAGTTGACTACTAAACAAGTATCCTGAATTTAGGTATCTAATTTTTTTAAAGTAATCATAGTTCACATCTTTTTGTTTCATAGTACAATGAGTCTTGAAAGTATTTTTATAGTGTGCTTTTAAATATGTATATATTTATAAAAGTTTTGTCAGAAACATTCTATTTGAGGTTTGCCATAATTGAGGAAACAGACATAAATTATACATCCGGTTACCAATCTTATGTATGATTTAGAGGATTTCAGTGAAGGCTGGAACTGTGGAATGTAAGTAAAAATGAGTGCCTTGTAAGGTAACTTTTTATTTTTCATTTAGCCCTGCCAGCCCTCCTGCTATGGATCTAAGAACCATCATGGAAATTGAAGAAAGTATGCAGAAATGTGGAACCATGCCAAAGGCAAATTCAGGGTTGGTAAAAAACCAAAATCTATAAAAGAAAAGTGTGATAGACCAGGCTATTATGAATTTACTTAGTGGTTCAGGCAGTTCGGAGTTTAAAAAAAGCAGGAGAAAAGTTGTCCTATTTGTTTTTGAACAGCTTTGTTTACTTCAGTTCATTATGGTGTTTTTCTGTGAGCACACAAAATTTATCCCTTTATTTACTGTAGTCTTGTTTGGTCAACACTGCTAAAGCATGTCTTAGCTGTTGAAATGTGAAAGACCGAGCTAGTAAACTAGTATCTTAAATCAGTGGCCTGCTCTGCTGAGCTTTCCTACTTCCAACCAAAAAGAATTAATTCTTGTCCCTAGCACTTTGGAAATTACTTGTGGACCAGTACTGTAATTGATCCTGAAGTTTGTTTCATGTCTCGCATTCTCTGACCTCCCCCGGCACCCATGTGTTGATACTGACAATTCTTCCTCAGACAGAAGCAAGGATGGTTCTTGCTCGGAGAACCATCCCAAAGACACAGGGAGATAAATGTACTTTTTCTGGAGGCAGTGGATTAAACTACTGGTTTTTAGCTGACGACATATGGAAGAGAACTGGAGATGACTTTCATGACCTTTGAATTGTGGCACCTCCCCCGGCACCCATGTGTTGATACTGACAATTCTTCCTCAGACAGAAGCAAGGATGGTTCTTGCTCGGAGAACCATCCCAAAGACACAGGGAGATAAATGTACTTTTTCTGGAGGCAGTGGATTAAACTACTGGTTTTTAGCTGACGACATATGGAAGAGAACTGGAGATGACTTTCATGACCTTTGAATTGTGGCAATAGTAAAGGGTTGCTGGCTAGGTAGATTCAGAAGCTGTGAACAAAACAGCTAAGACTGAAGAATCCAATTAACTTAGAAAACAAATTATTACAAATAGAAAAAATGGCTATATGCTGTTGTATACATTTCTTATGCATGAATATTTTTGGTTTAAGGGAGTAAGCTTCTGACAGTCTCTAAAAAATCACAAAATTAGAAAATAGTCTTCATCTGGTGGTAGTCCATCTCTTTTGGAGACATGATTCCTACTCTGCATGTTTTCATTTGTAGACATATATGTGAAGAATAGTTTTATGATGCTTTTCTTTCTGATATTCTTGATATTCATTGATCCTCCTTTTGCTCCCCAGCCATCCAGCCGCCCCCGCCCTTTTGGCACTCTAGACAAAGTATTTTGGTCTAGGAAAGAAGTGTTTCTCAGTTTAATTTGCAAGATTAAAGGTGAGTCATCTCAAAAGACACTGGTCTTACATCTTCTGTCTTTGCAATATCAATTCATAGCAGAATGGCGTCTCATGGAATCAAGCTTTCTCAGAAGCAAAGGAAAATGATTGCCTTGGCAGCAAAAGATAATGGATCAGTAACTAACATCACAGAGCCTACTACACCAATAACCACACCACCCCCACCTACGAAAGTTGCAAAACTAGGAAGTGCATGGTATGTTACAAATCAAATATCACTTCTTTTTCTGTGGAGGGTTTTTACATTGAATAGTCTCTTAGAAACAGTTTCTTAAACAAAAATGGCCTAGGTTCTGTTCATTAAAAAGACTAGCATTGAACTATTTGTATGTACATTTGGTAGTAATCTAGAAATTCAAAGAGGGCAGGGAAATGTAGTGGTTGCAGTTTAATAGTTCTTTGAAATTTTGCTGTAGTGAGTCAGAAGACTGCATCCCATCTGGTTCTTGCCTGTGTGTGATGTGGTATTTGCAGATGGTATCAAAGTGAAGCATAGAAAAAGAAGGTTGAGCACAAGCTCTGAAACTTAGTCAGGAAGAGGTTATTGAAAACCATTATGAATGCTGTTTTTCCTCTGTCAAAAACATAAAGAAAAATGTTAGCCCTTCCTGGGGGTAAGGGCTAGAATAAGTAGACAAAAATAGACTGAAATTATAAATAACAAAGTTATCTAGGTGTCTAGGAGCTGGAGGGAGTGACAGATGCTGCTAAGAATTCTTATGGTGGAAGGATGCATGATGGGATTAAAATTACTTTTAATGCTGATTACACACAATTTAAATGTTCAAGTTGGTATCACTGTATCGAATACAAAAATGGTTCATCATCTGTTCAATGAACTAGGTTTACAACAATGAATGTAGCCTGATTCGTGCTTTATTCATCACATTTATAGTTGGTATTGGATGAAAGCATAAAGGCATAACTGTAAAAATTGCAAGCTATGTAAATTTAATGTGTTTATACTACAGAAAAAATACCTATGTGCGTGCTCTTAACTTGAAGTAAATGTTGGGCAGTTCTCCCCCTTTCCCTGTTCAAGAAGGTCTAGACTTTTATTGCAGCTTGCTTCTGTACTGGTACCCTAGAAGAATTGTGAGTCAGTCTCCTCTTTCTAGAGCTTACTTGTTTGTGCCTCAGTGGGAACAAAGCTTGCTGCATACCCACCACAGTCACACTATTTTAAATGAAGTCTTTTTTAGGCAATTTAGCTGTTTTAAATGCTATTGTAGTAGTTTTTCTTTTTTATTGGATAGATTTCAAAGTAAAATAGGAGTCTGTCTTTCAAAGGATAGGTTTATTTTCCACAATTAGAGTTGTCTCCCTCTTGTGTCTTTTGGCTCTCTTTCCTTTGATCCTTTATATGAATTAGTTGCTCCTTTCAGAAATAAGGATAGTAAGCATCTGCTGGGATCTTTGCCTTTCTGCTATGCTCCTGTAAGTTCAAAACAGACATGTAGCCTGCTAGCTCTTTAATGAGTGTATGGAGAGAAAAAAAATCACATCACTAGCTGGCTGAGGAAAAGGTAGGCTGCTTCCTGGCGGTAGTTGCTTCCTGAGAGGCGTTCTGTGTCAAAAGGTTTAGGGTAATATCTAGAACTGCTTGCTTCTTTGCTCCATTTTATGTATCTGTTACCTCATCTTTCTTTTTTGGATGGATGCTATTATGATCAGCACCTTGAGTTTGAAGTGCCTTTAGATTTATTGGAGATTTCACATAGGTCTGTTGGTATGCTATTATCTTAGTTTAAGACCACAGTAATAACAGTAATATCCCAGAACATAACAATGGTAAAATAGAGCTGGTGCTCAAAATATTTGTCAGTAACGTGTGGGAAAAACTGTGAGAGTATGTTGTAATCATCCCAAAATCATGCATTATAAATCAGATAATAATTGATTCTAAAATGGTATTCTATTTCTGGTGTGACACCAGAACAAGCTTTGCTTCTCTAGTGGACACCATGCAGTACATTCAGCCTTATGGTTAAAGGGCTTTAGTATTTTACAGGGCCTGTCAAGGATCATGTCAGTCTGATCTGAAATGGGCAGTTGTTTAGTGAATTCAGGGTAGTGTGGCATGACTTGTCCTTCAAGTAGTGATTCTGATGGTGATGGTTGGGATTCCTCCAAGGGTCAGTGAAAGTAGGTGTCCTGGTTTTGGCTGGGGTAGGGTTAATTTTCTTCCTATTAGCTGGTGTAGTGTTGTGTTTTGGATTTAGTAGGAGAATAATGTTGATAACACACTGATGTTTTAGTTGTTGCTAAATAATGTTTACACTAGTCAAGGACTTTTCAGCTTCTCATGCTCTGCCAGGTGCACAAGAAGCTGGAAGGCAGCATAGCCAGGACAGCTGACCCAACTGGCCAATGGGGTATTCCATACCATATGACGTCATGCTCAGTACATAAACTGGGGGCTGGTAGAGGAGGGGGATCGCTGCTTGGGCATCAG